ATCACTTTAGAGGCATGCCTTAGAGCCACACTCGGTTCTGAATGGGATCTCAGCAGAGGGAGGAATTGTGAATGAAATCCAGTTGCCTTGGGTTCAGTTTTGATAGCGGCGGTTGTTTTGACAGTAGCTTTTTTTTTTCCTTCAGTATCAATTTCTAAACAAATCCATATAAACTAAAATCTTAGCAGATGGGGCTCCAAAAAAAAAAAAAAAAACCACACACACACAACTGGTGCTTCTGACCTCATGTTTGTGGTTGGTCTTGACCTGAATACATTTGGGAATCCCTGTCTGAGGCTGATGGTTGCTGGAGCTGAACTACTTATCTTGGGAATTAGGCCTGCCATGTTGCACATTTTTATTTGGGACACCATTCTGTTGATTGCTGCCATATTATATATTAAAGCTGCGGTAGTAAGGATTATATTGCGACAGTGGATTTTGAGCTCAGCCAGAGTTGAGATCAGGCGTCCAGGTTTCTTTTAAAGGCACATCCCATCTCTGATAGCTGAACCGTGCAGTGAGGCAGGAGGATGTGTTGTGCTACTGATATGACTGAACAGGGTTTTCATGCACATTCATTTTTCTTTCTATGCGTATCATAAACTAATAAATGGTGTGCGTTCATTCGTTTTTTGCTCATCCCAAAACAGGAAGAAGTCCTGAGTTTTTAAGAGTGGGTGGACTCAGCTGGTGAAAATTAAATTGCCTGTGGCAATGGCCCTGGTTACTGGAGCAGTGCACCTGAACCTACCACCCCTGTGGTGTACAGCAGAAGTGTGTGTGAAACAGAGAGAGCAGATAGTAAGAAGTGAGGAGAATATATGGATACTGGAAGACAAAGGGGACTCAGGTGTGGCAGGGGTAATGGGGATACAACTGCACCTGGTAGCAGCGGCCAGGGAGACTTAGGGAGTATCATCAGATCCCAGGGCAACTTGCTCAAATTCACCTGTGGAGGCAAATTGTAATTTACCCTGACCTTTATCCCGACAGTTCTTACTCATCCTCAGATCTTTATTTTGTTGGTTAACCGAAGCCAAAGATGACTAATCGTTTCTGCCAATTGTCTTCACTTTAGTTGAAGTTGTTCTCAGTCTTGGGGCATCGCCTGCAGGCCTGTAATATATGCAGAGAAACTGTTGGTCAACATTGCCTGTAGCTTGACACCAAAGGCAAAAAATGTGGGGGAATAAAACTGCTTTTGTGAGGAATTTCATCTTTATCCCTCAATCAATAATATTCTATTGATTTTATTGGAACTGAAGAAGCTATTAAGTGAAGAAAGGGCTTGAATAATTCTGTAAGCATTATCCTGTTCCCTCAGTGTCAGTGTGTTAAGCAAGGAGCTGCAGCAGGTCCGTGTGTCTACTTTGACGTCGTTCGACCTCTCACCACCAATTTATCATCACGCCGGTTTTTTTTGCAGATGTGTCTCCACAGGTTGGCTGGTGCCTGTAGAGAAGACGCATAAAGATGACGGCTTCGCGGTTAAACATCATAAACCAGCCCTCCTAGCGAAGAAGTCAGAGGTCAGCCATTGTTCTTGCCGGTTTGAACGGCTGAGATGTGTGTACAGTGTGGGATGGGCCAGGAGCACAGAACCGAGAACGCGCAGAACATTTTGTGCTTTAATTCTGCTTCTCTGTTTCACACAAGAAGTCAGTGTTTAGTAGGAGTCGTACAAAATGAATGAATGAAGCCATTAGACCAAACACCATTTCCTTATGTATGTAAGGTTTTTTTTTGGGAATCTATTTAGTCTCATAATTGTGTCAGTCCAGGAGGTTGTCTCGCTTCTCACCTCTTGGCTTTTAGTTGTGTGCTTTTTTTCCCTTTTTCTCTCTATCTTAGCCTGACATTACGTCTGGTGAGCCTCAGCGTTGAGAAAGGCACACCCTCAGCGTGGTGCTCAGTAGTGCTGACAGCTTAGTATTGGTGTTAACTGACAGTGTTGGTAAGAAGACTGCTGGCTGGGTGCTGCAGGCGAGATACATTATCTGTCTTCAAAGATGCTAGCTTTCGCGTATCTTACATTAGTAGGCGTGGATTCAGTGCCAGAAAAGCTAAAAAAACAAACTGTTGGTATTAATTCACTCTGTATATGTAGTGATACCAAGTTTTTTTTCAACCCTACACACAGTTGAATGACTTGGCTTGTGCGTGTTTTAAATTGAGTGGTACTTACCTTTCTTAGATTCCTCATTAGATCCTCCTCTTCATTAGAGTGAGACCAGGCTCTCTGTGAACTACGCCGACTGTTGGTGACAGCCCTGTCAAAGAGCAGCCTGTTCATGTTTAACCAAGAGGACCAGCTGCCTGCCCCTTCTATTATAACCCTTTTGGAAAGCTCACAGTCCTATTTGCAGTTGGGAAGCGCAGTGAGCAGAGCGCTTGATAGACAGAGTTCGGCCATTTCAGTTAATGGCTGCGCACCGACCCAACTGTTGCCAAGCTACTGCCGATTTTGTGCCAGCTTATTCCTTGAATGTTGTGCATCTTGCATTGATAATAACATGAAAGGAAATGACTTTCTCGTTTTCCTAAAAATGTGAGACAAAAATAGTCACCATACATTTACGAATATGCCTAATATTGGCACGGGCCTGCACAAATACGATTGTGCCAAACCTGTCACAGGCTGCTAGCGCTCTCAGACAACCATCATTGTCTCGTGCCGCAGCACTTTCAGTCTGTCTGACTGCTCAAGTGAAGCTCAGTAGAAACAGTTATCCATTCACATAAATATCCAGACAGATAGCTCTCAGAATGGCAGCTAGTTAGTGGTCTGTTGCTGGGGCGGATATGGCACAACTCTTTAGCGAAAATCATCTCCCAAGCCCCAAACACAGCTG